GCTGTCTTTAAACACATTCAGGACACTTTTTCCACTATATACTACATCCTGATGCGTTTTCAGGACATTCTGAATCAAACAAACACAATTTTTGTTTTTGTTTTTTTCCCCAGTACATGTTTATTGTGTTGAAACAGCAGAAAACAGCAGCGGCATGCAAACACTTCTAGCTAAAGGAGGAAGATCACCAGAGCAGATCCGGGTGTACTACGAAGCAAGTTTGACATATCCGGGCTTTGTTTGTGCAAGCTGGATCAACAAAACCTAAAACCCCCGATCAGAGATGATGTTTATCGTGACGGCGGTTATCAGCTTTTTATTGTTTTCTTCACCACACTTTGTGCACGCTCACATAAAAGAGGGCGTTTAACCCCGAAAGTGACTCATCTTTTGCACAAAGTGAACCGATTACACGCCGCCTACTTCTGTCAGAAAGAACAGGTTGTTATAATGGAGAGCTGTGAAGAATATAAATACATTTTAGAGTAAAAAAGCATCACTATTACTGCAGCTGATGCAGGTAGAAAACTGTTGATTTGTGTTTCTTCTCAATGCAGCTGCACTTTAGGGCTCTGAAACTTAGAAATTTAGGTCTGACGTTGTCCTATAATGGAGGAGATCGCTTTAGTTTTTGGCCAAATCAAAGACAAATTAATCTTATTTACTGGATATTCTAACCAGTTTTCTGATCTGTGCTCTATTAGCTGCAGTGAAACAGATTTGGCAGGACCAAACATAAAAACATATTTATCTATTTTCTGCATCTCCTGGTGAATGCATATCGTTTCCAGATAAAACCTCAGCTGCTCGGAGAGAATATCGTCAGGAAACTAATTGCTGAAAGGCTTCTTGTAGCTGATTTAAACCCCAAACTCTGAACAGAATCTCCTCCAGAGCGGGTCTAGCCGTGCAGCTTCAGATTAAAAAGATCTTTCGTGACGCTGAAAACTCTGATCTCAGGCTGAACATACCTAATTTTTCTTGCTTCCCAGTGCAGCCCTCTGGTTTTTCTATCCCACGGTCCTCGTCACACTGCTCATGCACGGCACATCGCTCTCTCCATGTTCTCTTAAGCGCTGTTATTATTGACCAAACAAGAAGCTGCATTTTTTTTCCCAACTACACTGACTTTGCGCTACATCCTGTCTAAGCAGATGTGTTCTTAATGGAGCCTATTCTACTGAGAGGAAGATAAGGAGGCATCACATGTGGAGGCCTGAGCACATGCCAGGTGGTGTGATCATGCAGACATGTGCAGCAGAAATGGTCATTTGCCATCTTTCTTCCCAGCTTTAAAATGACTTTATACTGCACATACTTACATATAATACAACAATTTTATCAAAAAAAAAAAAAAAGCAGGCGAGGATGAGTTGAAGGTCTACATGAGTGGCTGCAGGTTTTTACCACCGTCCTAATAATTAACCAGCAAATGCTCCTCTGACCAGTACGATTCATTTAGGAGGTGCCTGTGGAATGTTTTTACCGTCTCAGTTGGATCGCTACGAGAATCTCCGACAGATTCAAATGGGACAGGAGAGAATAAGGTCTGTTGGAGGGGAAAAAGGCTCCAGCTGTAGAGCATCTCTGGGGAAATGTGGCATGCTGCATTCCTTAGGTGTGCCCTGTCTTCCTCACTTTGTCATCCTCAGGATATCACTTCAATGGGGACATTTTCCTTTCTGCATTGGCCCGAGCTTGCGTCACTCCTTTTCCTTCTCTGCTCCGATTGGTTAATTAGTCCAGCGAGTCGTCCGGGTATGGGGTCGGAGAATCCATCTGTTCCCTCCAGATTTTTCTGCCCAAATCTAAGACCTACTGGTGTTACATTTAAAGGGGACGCAGAATTATCTGACTGCTGGCATTCTCTCCCGAATGAAACTGCCTGGTGGTTTTGGGTTTCTTTTTTTTTTTTTTTTTTTTCGCTGCTGCCAAATCTCCTGAGAGAGCTCAGGGCTTCAGTCCAGTGAGTCTGAGACAATAAGTTCACAGTATCAAATGGAACAGCTCTAGTCCAGTCCTCAAACTATCAATCAGCATTTGTTTTTCCTATTCCTAGTCTGTGGTTGTGCACCGTGCAACAGACGGTGTTCCTATTTCTACGTGGACACCGAGTGAAACGGAGAGCTTCTCCTCCCGTCTGTTTTCTAGTAGTAGTCTTCGTAGTTCTTGGGGTTGAGGCAGTAGAGGATGGCGCCTCCGAAAGAGAAGATGGTGGATCCCCAGGCGAGTCCGTAGCCCCAGTTAAACTCGTGGTACACCCTCAGGCTGACTGTTTCGATGAACTTGATGGGGAACAAAACCAAGCTGCACACCTGAAGCACCACTGCAAGAGAAATGAAGAAGATCAATCAGAGCCTCCCACCTGACCCCTTAAAATCAGCTGATCATCATCTACAATAACTAATGATGCAATTCATCGTTTTACCTCCATACTACGAATATTTGCAGAGCTACAGGCCCTTAAAGTGCACAGAGGTCGTCATTTCTGAGCTTCATAACGTCATCAGACACATGACGTGTTCAGGGCTGAAAAACACATCTGAGTTCTGCAACTAAATCAGTTTTACATCCATCCAGGTGTCACAATCTAAACACTAAATATGGTTTTTGTTCATTTTTTCTATAGCCAATTTTGAGCATCAATATTATATTTTAACCTAAAATTTGCACCACGGGCAAAATATCTCTGACTAATAATATGACTACATTAAAACATATTATGACACAGAAGAAATCGTGTCTAGAAGATGATCCTGGTGTCAAATGTAGGTAAAAACGATCCTTTCTTGTCTAGAACTTGTTCTGACCAACCACCATCAGCCTTGAAAGTTTACCCAGAATTCACTTTGCAAAGTTTTCTCTGGTGAATGATCAGAAACCAGAAACACATCCAGGATACTGATGATTGTTTCTATGACTCTGTGTCATAGACATTAAACTGCTGCAGTCTGACTGTTCACACGATGATACATCCCATAATACTGATGCTCACATTTGGTTTAGGAAAAAAAATGAACCAAAACCAGATTTAGTGTTCAGACTGTGACACCTGGATGGATGTAGAACTGATCTGGTGTCAGTTTTTTACCAGAGCTCGGAGGTGTTTTTCCTCCTGACATGTCATGTGTCTGTCTGCTGAACTGATGAACTGATGAGGCTCAGAAATCGTTGGTCATACGAGAAATGAGCAAAAACCAGATTTAGTCAGATTTGTGACACCTGGATGGATGTGAAACTGATCTGGTTGTAGTTTTTAGCAGAACTCAGAACTAAAAATAAGTCTGTTTCCTCACAGCTGCAGGGAAAAGTTGCACAAATTATAAAGCACAAAATTTCTACACAACACCATGAACTTCAAGGGCCTGTAACTCTGAATATATTTATAGTATGAAGATCAAATTTTGCATGACTTCATTAAAGATACTAAAGTTGTTGTATTATAAAAATTAGCTGATTCTGAGGAGGTCAGGTGGGCCGTTTTCAGAAATGTGGGACTAAACAGTGTACTAACGTCAAAATAAATATGGAAAACACTTATAGAAAGACAGATTTATTATTAAACAGCCACTGAAATCTTGCATTAAAGCTTGAAATAGTTAAAAGACGATGCAGATAATTCATTTTTTTGGATGCTGCTTAGTCGTTGTTTTGCATTTTTCTTCCCTCTCGTCTCCAACAGCTTGCTTCTCTACCTGCACAGAAGAGCATGACGGCCACCGGCTTGTAGCAGCGACTCCTGGAGCCGAAGCAGAGCGACTCCAGAGCCACGAGGAAGGCGAGCAGGGTGAGGGCAGCTCCCCCCAGCAGCAGGGCCAGCGTGGCGATCTGCCAGTCTGAGAAACAAACACAGAGACGGGAGACGGGAGAGGCGTGAAATCGCAGCGAGACACACGGCGACATAGGTGGCTTAAAAAAGAGCTTCCTCCGGAGAGCCGTGTCGCTGCTGCTGACAGGAATCAGGAGAGTGTGGAGGCAGATGAGGAGGCTTTAAAGTGGCAGAAAGGGTCACAGGCCACGGCGGTGCACCGCTGCATAGCTCACTCTCACGTAAAAATGATTCCACCCATTACAGTTTATGCTGAATTACCGCAGCGTAAACACAAACTATTGGCGGTGGGACGGCTGCATATTCTGAGAAGCTGGCGATGTTTTGATGCGAGCCGCCGGGGAGCCACAGGCCGGTGGCAGAGGAGGAATGTGAGCGATGCGGCGGCGAGCAGCACAGCACTTTGTGGCTGACAAGAAGCAAACAAACGCACACATTTCCACGCTTGGGTAATGGATCCCAGTGCAGCAGAAAGCGAATCTGCGAGGTGACTCAGATAATGAGCATCCCTCCCTCTCTCTCTCTCTCTCTCTCTCTCGGCCGGTGCCAGCTCAGCAGCATTCTCAGCATTTCATTCAGATTTACTCCGAAAACACTCAACTGGAAACAGCTGCCGCTCAATCTTGCTTTTTCTCCTCCGGAAGCCTGCGTGTTTGTCAAGAAGAGGAAAAACAGGAACACTTTGTGCACAAAAAAAACCTCCAGTGTGTTTAAGAAAACCAGTTTTAATCAGCTGAGGATTGTTGAGAGACACAATATATGTTATTGTTTAGAGATTAAGGATCTCTTCTATAGCTGCTCCGTGGAAACAGGAGGCCTATATGTAAACAGGCAGAGGATATTATGATGAGGCAGTTGATTACACAGGAGGAAATCATTTTAAGTGCACTGGGTGGAAAAAATAGAACAAAAAAATCAAAGCAGGATCTCTGTATGTGGTTAAATATTACAGTGAGTGGAAAAGTTCACACTGACAGACTTCAGTTTGGATGCATTTTGTATTTTTTTTAGCAAGTAAACAAGGTATTGTCTGTCTGAGTTCAAAAAATTAAGCATTGCCAAGAATCCTGCCTCTCCATTGAGACAAAAAAAATCATTAAAACCTTCACCAGCGGGGAGAAAGTGACTGAACATAAGCTGCTTAAAATAGTTGCCACTCTTGTTGGAGGGAAACTTTATTCCAGGGGCCAAGCAGCTCAAATATAAACAAACAGCAGCTACTTTTGACCAAATATGGTTCAGGATTTAGAGTTTAAAAATGGGTCCTGTCACCACAGGATGTTGGAAGGAGCCCACAGAAAGCAGAACCCTCCAGTGTGCAGCCTGCACGGCGCGGCAGACCCCCTCTAAAGACTCCCAGCAAACGGGTTGCAGCAGCTTGACCTGCAGTCGTCGGAGCCTGTCGCTGCTCAGATATCTTCTCTGGGTCAGTTTGCTGCCTTCAGCTGAGCCGGTCTGCAGCTTTATCAGCCGCCTCACCAAACAGCAGGATGCAAAAAAACTCATCTCATCTCAGATTTGGAACAGACCCTGTGCAAGAAACGCAGCCAGAGTCGGAGCGCTTTAAGGCTTCGACGAGCGAGAAGCGCCAAACTATTAATCTGAGCCCCGCGTGATGACAGATGGAAAAGGAGATACAGTGAGGAGATCCAATCTGAGCATTAATTATGGTCCCCTGTGTGCATGTCGGGGTGTTAATCGAAAAAATCCTGCAGGGCCCCAATTCAGTTTCTTTGTCTGGGACAATGGTGGAAGATCTGTGTCACAGAAGAGCCTGGAGTGAGTCGCTGTCACCCGCTCTCAGCCTCACTGAGCTGTTTGATGATCTGCAGTCAGAAGTTGAAGCCTTCAGAGTCTTTGAGCAAGGCACTAGACCTCCTCCACCGCCGACGCTGTGCAGACCCGACCTGCCTCACAGAGAGGACAGGAACCCAGATCCCGGATCGATAGCGCGCTGCATTATTAATACTCTTTTCCATCAGTGCATCGGACTGAGCTGCTCGCACACCGACTCCACATTCGTCCCTCCAGCTCACACCACTCTGACATCAGCTCGCTGCGCTCTGGCATCGCCGCTCCACATTCCTGACTCTGCACTGGAGCTTCACCTTCGATGCTCGACCTCCGACCCTCCTCGCTGCACTCTGAGTTCAGGAGAACTGTTCCCACCACTTCATTAAATGCAGGGCTGCGAGCAAAAACCTCATTTAACTATAATAAGTTGAGCTGCATCAACTTAACTTTATGTGTAATTTAAACTCAAATGTCTGCATTGGTTGATCTAAAACTAACTCAAGTTGAGGTAACTTCATGAAATTGGCTTGAAAGCTTAACAACCTACTTAACATTGGAGCAACTTGTTTTTTTGTTTTTTAAAATTTGCCCAACTTGAGCTCATATCGTTGATACTTGAGTACAAAAATAATGTAGAAATACTCGTCGGAACAACTTAATTTTTACAAGTACTCAAACTCCAGTCATCAAATAAGTGATTCTTAAAAGCATCTTCGACTGCAGAGGAAACCCTACTTCCTGTATCCTAATAGAGTTTGTTGCTTGAACATAATTTCATTAGAAGTTGTCAAAACTCAAAAATTGATGCAAACTATTGAGCCTAAATATATTTTTTGTGTCTAAATGTGTGTTTTAGAGACAAAGAGAAAGAAAAAGAAGGATGTCATCTGCATGGCTGCAAGAAAAAACAATAAATGTACTGATTTACATTAGAACACACAACTATTAACATTATTTTGATATAATAATGTTGCACCAACTTAATATTGTGCGAGATATGAACACAGATTTCTAAACTAGTTGCTTTAAAGCTAAATTCAAGTGGAGGTAACTTAATGAAGCTGGTTTAAACTATTTTCCTCACCTTGACGTCAGGATTTCAAATCTAATCTCATATCCACACCAAAGCAACTTTTTAAATTTGCCAACTTAAAAACTTGCATTCATAATTAAAGTACTTAAATTACAACTTGATTTTTATGAGTTATCAACTTAAGAACTTGTCTTTATGCTGCCAATCAGTAAACAAGTGATGATACAAAATACATTTGATTGTAGAGGAAAAGCTAATTCCTCTTGTTGGTTGAACATAATTTCACTCCAAGTTGTCATAACTCAAGAAAAACTGATGCGAACTGTCCTGTTGAAGGTTTCTGTGGAGCCCAAACCTTGTTTTTTTAGAGCGTAAGTGTGTCAGAGAGACAAACAGAAAGAAAAGGACGGCTAGCAGCCCTGAACAAGCCAATCCCTTGTGTCTGCTTTCTAACTCGCACTGCGTTTTCTTGAGGTTTCCAGGACAAACACACACACACACACACACACACACACACAGGCCTTCAGAACAAGCTGAAAACATCTGAGCGGCCAGCTGCTGTTTCAAACTAACAGGATTTATTTAATGCCCAGAGCATGACACTGAGGAAATATTGGGGGGCTGAAGAGAGAGAGAGAGAGAGTAGAGGGAGGGGGGCAGAAACTGATTACTGGGATTCAAATCAATAAGCCGAGCCAAGCACCAGCCCGAGGAAATGGGAAGTTCGCTGTGTGCATTTACTGTGGTATGCTGCTGCTGCTGCTGCTGGTGCAGAGGGCCGACATGGAGGCAGCATGTCTTTATATGGCACCAAAGTGCACTTTGTCTGCGCTGACAGAGGAGGAACGAGGCCAGAGTGACCCACGGTTACTCATCTCAGACAGAAAGAAAACAGTTTGTCAGAGTAACAAAAACACAACTCACCTCTCGGCTCGCAGGAGGAGGCCGGAGGCAGCGAAAATGAAATATAGACGAGCTCACATAGACACAGAACCTAAGAAACCCAACAGCAGGACGGGCCGGGATAAAAATATATGAGCCTCAGCTCCATTAATATTTAAAGAATCTGCTTTTTAGACAACTGACGAACATCATTTCACACAATATTTACTAAGAATTTAAGCACATCTACAGAAAAAACCCCAACATGAGTCGAGAACATTTAGTTTTCTGCTCAATTTTTTGCATTTGGGCTGTAACAGGATTCTGTTAGTTTATGCATTTTATCATCCAGTGCAACCAAATACAGAAATAAACTTGACCTAGAAACCAGAGTTGAATTATTGCAATAAGAATTAAAATTACACAGGCTGGTGCTGCATCGCTGGGTTTGATTTTATTTAGTTTTTTTTTGCATCAAAGCTTTTTAAATAGGATTTTTTGCACATTTTACATTACGTACTGTGTATTTTGCATATTTTAGGACTAATTATTTGCCCCTTTTGTGCATTTCTATCCCTGTTATTACCCGTACAGTTCACTGGATTCACTACACTTGCTGTTTATTTGACTTCTTGAACATTTTTCACCAAAACACTGAGTCCAGCTCCTCTCATGTGAAAACCTCCTTGGCAATAAAACTCATTCTGATTCTGATCAACAAATTTTTTCCTCTTTTTTTTTTATTCTCTCCCTGACAGAATAAATTCTCTCAAAGTTCAGCCAGATTCTTTACTGTTCTGACTGAATGGAAATATGAAATGCTTCCAGAAACGAAGCCCAACAAGGAGACTCCATAAAGAAGTTTCCTTAACGCATTTGTGGAGAGCTTCACTCGTTTCCCTGGTTACTAATCTGCAGGCATCTGGATCTCTGGGGAGTTCTCTGCTCCGGAGCTGCCCTGCTCCTTGGCCGCTGAAGAAACCCACACAAAGGCTCATTTTGTACGCAACAAAAGGCCAAATGAAACCCCAGCTGGACCGCTCCTGGCGAGCACAAATTCCCACATCGCTGCTGCGCGCTGGGCCAAAGTTTCAGGAGAGGTTAACCACGAAACCAGAGCTTGTTCATCCAGTCTCAGGCTACAAGATAAACTTTCTACACTTACTTCGCGTGGAAAAGTTGTGCAGTTTAAATTAACCAGGCAATTATAAAGTAATTAACACTTGCGCTCTCCTGGGTCAGCCTCCTTCTATCAGCTCTCAGAACGCATCAGCGCTGCGGAGCCTCGTCGGCATCCCTCAGCTCTCAGCATCTGACTCTCATTTCAATATGAATGCGGCTGTTTGTCTGCACCCACAAATCCGTGAAAGTACAAAACCCGACCGGAGGAAAACTTCCCCAACAACATGGAGGCGCGTCGGGCTCACCGGTGGCCAGCGTGCTGCTGCAGGACCAGTCCACGGAGCTGACGGGCTTCCAGCAGGACACCCACAGGGACAGGTAGTACTGGTCGTCCGCCGTGACCCACGCGGGGCTCAGCACGGCGCCCCCGTCCAGGCACAGCGCCAGGAACACGCACACCAGACCCACAGACTTGAGGGGCGTCAGCGGGCGCACCCGGTTCTCCTCCGCGCCGCTCACCGACGAAGCCATGGTGGCGAAGTGAGTCACCCGTTGAGACGCGCGCGGCCGCAGCAGGAGGGGGACAGCATGCGAGTCCCGAGTCGCTCCTCGAGTCCTCACAGCGAGTTTTTAAAGTCCGCGTCCGAGCCGGAGGGTGCAGGATGCGCAGCGCCGCTCAGTGCGCGTCCTGCTGCCGCCGCGGATCACCGGAGCTCTGCCGGTGGAGGCGGCTGCGCTCCCAGATAACCGGAGCGGCACCGGCTGGGTCCTAGCGCCGACACCAGGGCGACAGACACCCAAAAAAACCATCAGGTACAAGTAAGTTTGGACCTGAGTAAATATAGAGAATAAGCAAAAGTTCTACTGATCAGATCCTCCAACCAGAACTCCTCACAATTTACAATAACTTCAGTTTATTAAATGAAAACGGTTCTAACTTCATACTATGAATGTTTTCAGCTGAACGACTCATAACTTCACATTTTCAGAGACAAAAACACAGCTTTGGTTTTAACTACATCCTCTGCAGGTATCACGGTCTGAAGAATGAACCTGGAAAATCTTAAAATATAAAAAATCTGTAGTAAATCAGCGAAAATCGATGTAAAGATAATTATATTCTTTAGCTAATTTAAATACAATAAAACAAATCATTTTATGGTCACACATTGTTAAAGAGTTATTTGCAGTTTAAAAAATGGAGAGATTTTTGATGTGGATATTATATACAGTTTTAGCCTTTTTAAATTTACAGTTAGGATGTAAATCAATATTTTTTTCTGTGATTTTACTTGATATTATGTGCACTTACTCTTATTTTTATTTTTCTAGTTTATTTCTTTTATTTCTTATACTGAGAGATAAGATTCACCACGGTCATATTTCTTGTTTGTGTTTACAAACTTGGCCGCTAAAGTTGACTCTGAAAATTGATTTTGATTTTAATTTAACAAAATGGAAATATCTGCAAAATGATGATTTTTTATTTTTTTTGGCTGATTTAAATAAAGTTTAAAAAGTAGTGCAATTTTATGGTCAAGTGTTGAAAAAAAAAAAAAAGAAGAAGAAGAAGAAAAGAAAGAAAAACAAAGATTTTTAATGTGGACTTTTTATTCATTTATTTTTATTTTACAATTTTAACCTCTTATTTATTTATTTATTTATCTATTTTACAGTTAACTTGTATATTAATACATTTTCTGTTATTTTACTAGATAGTATCTGTAATTTAAGAAAACAGGAGAAATATCAGTAAAACAACAGCAAATTGTTGATAAAATTAGAGTTAAAAACTGGTGAAAGTCCTATATTTAGTAAAGTATGTTACCCTGGATGTGTTTAAGATTTATCAACTGGGTTGTTAGAAATGTATGAAGTGCATCAACAGATTGCTGAACTCTGAACAATACCCAGCGTTTGCTGTAAGTTGTTATTCTCACAATGTCATGATGCAAATTTTGAGGATCTGAGGACTGTTTTTGTGCAGTTTTCTATAAAAACCTAAGTTCCTGCAGTCACATTCTTTAACTCATAGTATGAAAAGGTTTGCTGTAAATGTAATTTTTTGTCATTTTCCTTTTCTCACTTCTAAAAAAAAAAATGTCAGCAGAATGCACTGAAAATCAAGCTGACTTGCATGTATTAGATGGATCATTTTTCCTTTAAATATTCTCCGTCACCTGCAGTCTCGTGTGGCTGAATTGGAAAATTGACCGAGTTTATTGACTTTTTACTACATTATCTCAAAGCCTACTTGTAATTTCAGGGTTTAATGTGCAACCCGAGTCTCTGTCCGGATGCTGTGGAGCCTGAAGACGGTGTTAATGTAGACGTCTTTACAACACAACTGATAAATATGGTGGTGGAAGAGCTGCTGGAGGTTCTCCTGCTGCTCTCTGGCCCAGAAATGTCGATGAACATGCAGCAGACAGGTACAGGCCAAACATCCGCTGATACAAATCTATTTTCAGACAAGTAATCTGTCAGGTTTTCTCTTTTAATTTACATCCACCATGCAACCCATCACACTGCTGCTCCCTTTCTATGGCTCCATCCTGCACTTTAAAGGCACATTTCTGTCTCTTTTGCTCTCAAACACACTCTGGAGGAAGCTTACGCTGCTCATTTTTCCCCCTAATTGAACTCAGCTAATTCTGTGTCCTCGGGGAAGAATCTCAGGATTAATTCACATTGATTAACGCACACACACGGACACATACACTCGGGGAGGAAAGCATGTTTTAAGCAAATTAACTTCACTGCTACATTTAATAAGAAGTGCAGCATCTGTGTTGGACTCCTTCAAGTAAAAGGTTTGCTGCAGTGAGGAAAAATAGAGCTCATTGAGTTAAAAAAAATCCCCAAAGTTTTAAATTTAATGAAGCAAATATGATGTGCAGGTTTATGCTATGACAGAAAAACTCACTCTCATTTGTGTATTTTGTGTGTGTGTGTGTGTGTGTGTGTTGATGTTTGTACCCATCAGGTCTCTGCTGATTACAATCTGCACCGAACAGTAATGATGTGGAAAGACTTCGCCGCCAGGAACAGCTGACCTACACACACACACACACACACACACACACACACACACACACACACACACACAGGTAGACACACACACACACACAGGTAGAAAATATCAATG